CATAGAAAAAATACTATCGTAGCAACTTCTTTAAATTCAGTATTATTTGTTGATATTAAAGAAAAAAAAAAAAAATAATTATTTTATGAAATATGATCTAAAAGGAGTGTTGAAGTATAGGGGTATAGATGTCCATCGGGACTGAAAATCTGCCGCTATCAAGATGACTTTTGAGAAATTCGTCATAAATCTATTCCGTCTAGATGCAATTTTACAAATCTTCCTAAAAAAAAAAGAAGTTGCTACGATAGTATTTTTTCTATGACAAAAATTTCAAGAAAATTTAATGGATGCGGATAAAGACAAGAGCTGCAATACTATTAGCACAAAACGAGGAATTGTACTCGTTTACATGAATGTGTAAAAATGAATTTTAACTTGTATCATAAAACAATCTTCACGTAATTAGTAACAGAATTTGTTTTTATTTAGATGTCTTGCTCTGGTAACACGAAAAATATCTGAAGAAGATTTACCGCCATTATCTGAAACAGATGTTGAACCAGCACCATTACGTTTACCAAATAATGGACCACCACATGCAGGTGATGCGACTTGTATTGTTATTCCATCTCGATCATTAACATCGTCTCTACGTACACCAAATGTAAATAGATCTCGAACTAACTCGATTGATGATAATGAAAGTGAAGAAGTATTAAATTCGTCAACTAATGACTTAATTACTCTTTGATCTCATTTTTAATATAAACATGTTTATTTTTACATTTTTGTATTTTTAGTGAAAAATAGAATGATAGAAAATAGAGAACACACAAATGTTGAAATCTATTATGTATAAATTGAAAACTTCAAAAAATTATTTTCGAGTTCAATTCTCGAGAATGAATATGTATACGAGAGAAATTGATTGATAAGATGTTATGAAATACGATCAATGACAATTGTGTCTTACCGTGTGGAGAGACTTTGTTATTTTTATTTTTCAATTATTCGTTCTTCTAAAACAGTTATTTTTCTGATATTCGTATGAATGAATATTTCTTATGCTATATGAAAAATCTCGTTGGCTAACAGAATTAATCTCATAAATCTTTGTGTTCAATGATACTCATCAATATACTATTGATCAAGAGAGAATTAACTTTACTTTGTTATTTTGTAGAATATTAGTAAGATATCGTGTCCTGTCATCCTTCAATTTTATTGTTTTCTTCTTGAATTATGACAATTTTACTTACGAGAGATAGAGTGACTCGAGTTGCTGAGCTTTAGCTGTTAAGATATTGATGTTTTAGTAGGCTTTGTTTTGCTGTAGTCTCTAGTTTTCAAATGAAATTTGACTTTTGAATTTAGATCTGGAACTTCGCATATAAAAGGCACCCATTATACTTGTTTGTAGAAAAAAATTCCGATTTTTTTAAAATATAGGCGCTTTCTTATGATTATTGTAAAAAGGGTATAGGTGTGGGTGTTATTTTTTAGTTGATAATAAATAGATATGAAGTGGTCATAGGTGATGTTATGGTCGTCTTGCTTATAATCTTCAGTGTCTCAAGTAAATGTTAATTACTCAAAGTCCTAGATTTTGTGATTTTTTGAAAAACAAAATACTCTGCTGGTGCTCTGCAAAGTATTACTTTTGTCCATCTGTTGTAATTCTAGGCGAAACTCTGAATTTTTTTTTTATCTTTATGAAATTCTTCGTTTTTTTTCTGTTTTAGATTTTTAATCTTGCTCTCTTATTCATCCTTTTTTTGATTCGTTCTTTTCGAACATATTAAATTACGAATTGCAATCGAAGCAACTGATCTTATATATCTATATTAAGTTGCTCAAGGCTAGTTAAATCTAGGAAGTTGTAGAGTTCTTCACTGTTTTATACTGAAATTTAGCTTGTCGTAACTACAGTAGTTTCGACCAAAAAAAGATGAATGGTTCTTTGAGTTTATGCTCTTTGAATAGTATTCGAATTTTATGTCGTTCATAGGTGATATCTAAAGTATGAATATATATGACGCTATTAAGTTTGGTTGAGCTATTTTCCAACCCAAAAAAAGTGAGAGATGTTTTATCTTATGTGGTTCTGATGGTAGAATATCAACTGCCTTCTTTTTAAATTTAATACTCCAAATATACAAAATCTTACTTCATTTGTTCATAAAAAATATTTTCGAAGAAGAAGTCATTGGTACTTACATCATAGTATAAATCAGTGAAAATGAATACTGTCTAGTAAAATAAGCAGGTATTTGATATGTTTTCTAACTAATAAATCGCTTTTGAATTCGGACTTAGGCCATAAGGTAGAATCCAGTGAGATATGAAAAAACTCAAAAGAATAAGTGTTCTTAGGTTGTCTGTTACGAGCTATAGCTATTTTATTAGAATTTTAGCCTCGGGTATATTAATTAAATGTCAACAAATCGAATCATGGTATTTCGACCTGAAATTTTGCCCACGAATAAGCCTATTTGTCAGTAGAATGCCTTGAAAATTTCAGCTCAAAAGAATATTTTCTTTCTGAGTTATTGAAGCCCCAAAAAATCACTCATATTTCAGAAAAGAGACTGGAGTTTTCTGTTTTTTGGGACTTCAATAACTCGAAAAGAAAATATTATTTTGAGCTGAAATTTTCAGAACATTCTACAGACAAATAGACCTGCTTGTGGGTAAGATCTCACGTTGAAATACCGTCATTTTATTTATTGATATTTTCTATGCTCGATGTTAAAATTCTAGTAAAATGTCGATAACTGTGGATAGAAGGCCTAAAAGTACTTATCCTTCTGAGCTTCTTCATATCTCACTGGACTCTACCTTATGCATTGAGTTCAAGTTCAAAAGCAATTTATTAGTTGAAAACGTTCCCCCATAAGTTAACTTTTACCTGTAACATGTACATTTTTTTTCCATATTTTTTCATCATCAGATACAAATAGTGATAAATTTGGCTTTAATATATACATTAGTTCTTTGCTATGGGATTTTGAGATTTTTTATTATTTAGCATTAGGTATCAGCAGATAATTTGACAAAGGAATCCAATTCTAATTTTGACGCTGCTTGTGGCAAATTCACATTGATATGCTACTGTTAGACTTATCTTTCGTTTATCTATTGAGATTTTCTTTTATGTATTTTTTTAGAAACAAAAAGTTTTCCTAAGATGATACAACGTCTTCGTTTTTATCAAATACCATGGTCTCATTACTGTGATAAAGTTCGTTGGGCGTTGGATTTGAAAGAAATTCCCTACGAACTGATAAATTATAATCCGTTTGGAAAAACGAAAGGTTTAGAACGAGCACCCAAAACAATGCCTAAGCTAATGCCGATGCTTGAAGATCCAAACAATAAAGATGATAATCAATTTCAATATGATTCAACACCAATTTTAATCTATTTGAATACTCAATATCCTCGATCGTCTATATCTCTTTTTCCATCATCAAGTGAACAACATGAGCAAGTGATTGATATATGTTTACGTCTTGATTCGACATTAGGTCTTTATGCGCGTCGTATAGCTTATGTTCAAATACTCAACGAGAGCCCAAATATATTGTCACTTGTACTCCGTGAAAAGTTTTCATGGGCTAATAATCCAGATACTATTCGCTCACGCTTAATTAGTCGATTCGTTGCTTGTTTTATAATTGCTCGATATCGAGTTCATCGTATCCGTGAAGAACAAGTAAGAGAAAAAATAGAACAAATTCTTTTGAGCATTGGAAATCATTTGCGTACAAATGATTATCTTGTTGGTAATCAATTTTCAGCAGCTGATTTAACATTTTGTTCACTTGTAAAACTACTTATACGAGTACCCTGTTTCTATGATGATCGTCGTTTTCAAATTATTTTCGATTATCATGAACGAATTCGACGAAATTACGATCCAAAATATCCGAATATCGATAATGAGCTCGAGAAACACATAGATAAACATCGAATCCAAATAAAGAAAAATGAAAAAAGTTTAACTACTCGTCTTAAAATATTTATTCATCAAATCAATATTGTACAACGAATTTTTATCATGATCATGACCATGATTGTTAAAAATATTTACGGGCCAAAAACTGATGATGACATCCCTCAATTCAAAACATCATCATCACGGAATAAACAAGAAAAACACGCACTCAACGATCAACGACGCATAAATTTCAAGTCACCTTGGCCAATGATGAAATTCTTCTTCAAATATCAATGCCATCGGTTATTCACTGTTCCAAACCAAGCGGCGTATTTAAATATAAAAACATAATTGTTATCTTTATTACATAATTTATGTTAATAGATTCAACAACATACTAAGAAGGTTTTCCTAATACAAATTGTTCGGATGAAGGAAAAATAAATTTTCGATTACTTTTGAAATTGAATTTTGTATGGGCATTCTTTTGGCATATAAACATCTATAATCATTTGAAAAACTAAGAATATATACTGATCGCCCTGATTTGCTGTGATCAAATAGCTGCTCTGTAACTTCGTCACTACCAGAGACATCGAGCCAGTGTCGGTTTCAAATTAAAGCTAACCGCTGTGCGCAACTTTTGTCTGAACAGAATTTTGAAATTTACTTCCATTCATTTTTTCATGAGTATTTTCATAGACATGATGATCAAATAAGCACAAAAGAAGGTGACCCACACCAGACTAAATGCCACTTTTCTCAGGCCAGGAATCCAATATAAAAAATCTGGTCAGACAAAGTTTACTCTCACTGAGACTTTTAAATCAAAAACAACATATTGTTTATACCTTGAATCGGGTGGAAGTTATATCAATTTCGTTGTCTGGAAACCACGTTTTGAGAAAAACACTAAAGAATTGTTAGAAATGGATTTTTTCATTGAAATTCAAAATAAATCATATTATACTATATACAGTGCGTTTGATAATTCACTGACCAAAAAGAAAATTGAATATCTTCATTACGGCTCGAGCAAAACGAGCTGATATTTTTGTCAATGATAGAGACATGTTCAAAGTTTATATCTAT